CACTCCTCTCTTTGAAAAGTAAAAGAAAAATTCTTTCATTGTTTTATAATCCCTCCCTCCAGGTCTACTCTACTATGCAGCCTTTGCTCTGGACTCCCATCATGACAAAAATACCTAATCACATATCCCTTTTAAACAGTTTAGTATACATTATTTAATACATCTTTCTCAATCTCCCCCCAATCCCAATGTCAGTCTTGTTTTACAACAGTGGCAGCATGCAGTATTTGTCTTTTTGTGATTGAGATATTTCACTCAGCATAATGTCCTCCAAAGTCACTCATTTTGAATAATATTGCATGAGTTCCTTGTTTTTCAATGTAGCATAGTATTATTCCATTGTGTGAATATACCACAGCTTCTCTATCCATTCGTCTGTTGATGGGCACTTACATTGTTTCCAACTTCTTGCTATTGTGAACAAAGCTGGATAAACATGGGTGTGCATATATCTGCTTGGGTGGCAGGTATGGTCTCTTTGGGGTATATCCCATAGTGGAATTGCTGGGTCAAATGGTATTTCTATTTGCAACTTTTTGAGAAATCTCCATTCTGCCTTCCATAATGGTTGTACCATTTTACATTTCTACCAACAGTGAATAAGGGTTCCAGTTTCTCCACGACGTCGCCAGCATTTGTTGCTTGCTGGTCTGTTAAATTTTGATATTCTGACTGAGGTGAGATGATATCTCAGAGTTGTTTTGATTTGCATTTCTCTTAGAGCTAAGGATTTTGAACATTTCTTCATGTGTTTTTTTAGCCATCTGAATGTCTTCTTCGGTGAAGTGTCTGTTCATAACCTGTACCCATTTTTCAATTGGGTTGTTTACCTTTATCTTGTTGTGGTGCTCAAGTATTTTAGAAATTCTAGATATAAATCCCTTATCTGACATGTCATTACCAAATACTTTTTCCCAGTCTGTGGCTTCCTTTTTTACCCTGTTGGAGAAGTGTTTGGATGTATATGGGGATTTGATTCTTAGAAGGTCCTGTTTGTCTATTTTATCTTCTCCTTGTTATAGGTTAAAATTTTTTTAAATAACCTAACACAAACAAAAATTTTTACATAATCTCAAGTAAATTGAGAAATTTAAAAATATTTGCTGAGATTTTACCACAATTGGCATTTCATTTATACCAATTATGACAGGAAGTTTTATGGAAAATAGGAACTCGGGAACTTTGTTGCTTCTGCCCCAGTGCCGAATCACCTCAACTTGTGTGTGGATTCACCAGCCACCCTGCAGCCATCTTTTTATTTCTTGATGACTGATACCAAAGGTGTTGACTGTGTATCCAAATAAGCTGAAATAATTGACAATTTCAATCTTTTCTCTAGCTGCATCTGTTTGTTGAAATATGTCAACTTGTATTCCATCAATTCCTGATGGAGTAGTTAAACGTAGAACTGCTTCCCAGAAAGTTGCACTGTGTACCCATTAGCTGTTCTGTGTGAGAAAGATGTCACAGTCTGCTCCCATAAAGATTTACAGCCTAGAAAACCCTGCTTAGTTGCCTGATAAGATCACTGTGAGAAAGAACAGAAAACAGTTTAACAGCACTGTCCATCTTTATACCATCCTAAATTCTTCTTCCAGTTGTATGTGAAATATTAGTGCCATGTCCAAATTAGAAGCTAGGTGACATAGCTTGCAGTGTCTAGCTTAATGGAGAACTGATATGAAAACTAATGAATAAAAAGATTTAATAAGAGGACACTCTGCCTTTCAAAAGGAGATGTTTACATGTACATGTTTAAGATCTGCACAGATCTCAAACTCTTCATGAGAGAGCAAGCACAAGTTGGATTTCAAATGATTCATGGTCTGAAGTCCTGCTAATTTTGACACCCATATTATTGCTCTCGTAGCCTTTTTCCATGTGATATTATTGGTCTTTGGGTCTCTCTATCCCCTCAAAGGCTATTAAACTACACGATCCTCCAACACCAACCCCAAGGATTGTAGCCCAGGTCCTGTCCCAAGTTCTGTGATATGTACCCTCTCTGCAAAATGGGTTGAAGCCAAATAGTTGTTTTCTCTGGTATTGAGTGATTGTGTCCAAAACTCTGTTTTTTCCAAGTCCTTAAGTAAGAATGGCAACTCTTCCACAGCCATGCTTCTTTCAGAATATGGCTTTTACTAGTTTTGTTTATTAGCTCAGTTATTTGTACATCTGTTTTCTTCTTTCTTGAGTGATATTGATGGTTATAGCTTTTGCCCCTCTCAGATTCCCTTTGTAAAGGCTGACTATATACTTTCCTTCATTCACCAAGAATGAACTATGCAGAGGGTCTTACATTGCTGGTAAAGAAAAAACATGAGAAATAACACCCACACAATTATTAAACGATTGTGTCTCATATGGCAGGAATAAGATACTATCAAATTACTGAACTGAAGGAATATTTTTGCTTCTTTAATTAGGAAAACAAAAATGTATTTTGAAAATACTGCTAAAGACGATGATGACATTTTCTCCTGGAAACGACACAGGCATATTATCAATGGTAAAGGGAATGGAGCATATGGGGTTGAGGAAAATGTTGCACTGGCTGTGCCTGAACTGAGTATGGCAGCATTATGATTATGGGAAAACAAAATATTTTTGTCTATCCCAAAGATGCATTTTATGGGTTGATCATAAAGTATAGAAATAAAGATCATAATATTTTGTCAAAAAAAGAAAAGAAAAAGACACTGAATGTGGGAAATCTGCTACAAAGGACATCTCCAAAGGCTGAGGAGCAACCCAAGCAATGGTCTTTTTAATTATTTGCTATGTATCTGAAAGTTGAACAATGACTAAGGATGACAGAAATATTATTGATGCCTTTGAGCTGTAATGTTGGAGAAAAGTACTGAAAACCTCATACACTGCAAAAGAACAAATAAATACACCCTTACAACAATTAAAGATTTTTTTTTTTCAAAGAGAAAAGCAAACTCGGGGGGAGGGGTGTGCAGGGAGAAAAACGTACAACAATGAATGAATGGCAATCCAAGTTCTCTATAAACTTTCATTAAAATCTCAATAAATAAGATAAAATAAATAAAATAAAATAAATACATCTTGGAGAAAATGCAACCGGGGTGCTCCTTGTAGGCAAGAATGGTGAAGCTTCATCTCACATATTTTGGGCATATTATTAGCAGGGACCAGTCCTTGGAAAAGGACATTATGCTTGGAAAGGTGAAAGGTCAATGAAAGTCAGGAAGACCTCCTAAGAGTCAGACTGATACAGTCATTGTAACAATGGGCTCAAGTATAACAGAAATGATAAGGATGGCACAGAATAGGGAAGGATAAGTTCCACTGTTCATAGAAATTGTGCCAATTATTTTATATGTTACTGCTACTGTGTTGTGCTGTCAACTATGACTTGTGGTGACCTTATGAACAATGGATCTGACCTTACCTATTCTTTTAAGCCTCTTAACATGTTCAAAATATGTGAGGTAAAACTTCACCAATTTTTCCTCCAAGAAACATTCTGGTTGTACTTTCTCTAAGACATATCTGATTGTTCTTTTGGAAGATAGTGAGATATTCTGCACTTTTTGCCAACAATGCAATTCAAATGCATTGATTCTTCTTCTGCCATTTTTATTCCCTGTTCAGCTCTCAGATGGTGAGAAGGTAATTTGATAGACAGTGGCCTGAATCAGGCATACCTTCATCTTTAGACTGACATGGCTCTTCAGGACTTTTGAGAGATCCCTGATGGGAGGAACAGGTAGAAATTACATTTTCTAATTCTTTAAGTCTTCAAAGTATCTTTAAACAAAACGCACCCTGCTAGTAATTTTGTCTAGTAATGCTTTAATTATAAACTATTTTGTAAGGAATGCAACTGTAACTGTATTTTAAAATATTAACTAATTCACAGCAGTTTGACACAAAGAAAAATTTTCAAAGATTTAACCTGAGATATAAATTCAAATTCTATTCAAAGTCTGATAATGTCTATTAATCCAGTGAAATGGAAAGATTTTATTATGAAAGCAATACTTGCTCATTATAGGAACTTCAGAATACAAATAATTAAAATAAAAATGGTTCTTATGGCTTGAGATCAGCTTTTTCATTTTATTGTCATAAAACTCAAATCATTCAAGATTTGTTTAAAACAAATATATCTTTCTTCCATATTTTAAAGTCTCTCTTTGGCTTATTTATTCCTAATTTATTTGACAAGTAAATAAAACAAAAAGAAAATCACTAAAAACACAATTTTAGGAAATATAAATGAAAAATAATCTTTGCTATTTTTGTTATTAACAGAGCTCTTGTTCTTGTAAGATAGAACTTACTCCGCCCACCCCAGACATCAAGCAGCACTACCTGAGACCTTGATCTTCTGTTCTGAAAGACCTAGAGAAGAGGACATCTGTTATTACTAGGACACAGCCACACAAAGACTCTTGCGCAGACTGAGACCTACACTCAGATCATGTAAGAGCAAAGTTCTGGGACGCCCCACCTCCTCAATAAGCCCAGATAGATAAGCATTCCCATTGGCATCCCCACTAGGGTCCTCATCCCCAAGGTCTCAGCCTGGCCTAAGACTCATACTATGACTCTCTGATGAAAGGAGCTCTGGGAAGTCACACCTCATGCTAATGACCTAGCCAGGTAATCACACCCTGTGACTCAGACAGAGAGGACTTGAGAGTGAAGAGACAGCATAAACCCCATTTTTTTTATAAACCCCCATTAATGCCAGAAGCAGAAGCAAGCCATAAAAAGTCTT